TGCAAATGCACTTTCTTCGGTCTATCCTTTGTGCTCTTATATGTATTGCGATATTCTATATGATATGAACACTACTGAAGTGATATGAAATAGCACAATAAGATTCAACATCGACGATGGCAGTAACGCTACACCTCCAGTTCGTGGCAGCTAACGAAAAGTAATAACTTCACTTCACTACATTTTTCGTTACAACTGGTGATCCTAGCTAACAAAGCCTCACATTTCTGATTAATCAAGTGAGGACTCTGACGAATGGATCCTCACAAGTTTAATCTAAGTCGGTCGCTCTCATTACTAACAACAATATCTGAATTGTACTATTCAATACAATTTTATTATAAAAAAAAATCATTTTTTTTTCAATTTTAGCTACTGATCATCAGCTCTCCAAATTATCGCGAGCTGCTGTCACCGTTGGACTTGAACTTCTCAAACGAAAATTAACTGGTTATTGGAAAGACGATAAAAAAAAATAACATCTTAAGATATTTGACACTTGACGCTAGTCTGACGGCTGCTTGTCGGCAGTTCCGCTTTTCATCTAACGAATTTTGAGTTCAGAGTGAGAGTAAACTCAACGACTTGTCTGTTTCAAGAAATTGAGATTCATATTCCTAAAATACGTCAAATATTACAAAATATGAACAGTTTCTATACAATTTATCTTCTCTTTGCAGGGAAGTCAAAGTAGGCTCAATTCCTTTCATTTTTCATTGATTTGAAAGGAGATGATGCTTAACTTCTATCACGTTTTCAAAATTTTTGCCGATGATTTCCATAGGTGAAATTTTTTCTCAAGCCTCTGCAACATTAGTCATAGTTATGAAGAAGGGAGTTAAGTCTCAACTCCCTTCCTGTGGATGATCACTGCTCATTGATTAACTGCTTTTGTCATACTAATATCATTAGATGTAATAAAGTGAAATAGGCTAACAGCAAATTCAGCGAGTTCGTCTGCCATTATTTATTCTCATTCACGGAAAACATAATGTAAGCTTTTGGTCTTTGCTAAAGGCCGTTTTCAAACACAAGTGACAAGTTGAAAAGATAACAGAGAATGTAGGGTGTGTATTTTTCCCATACCAGGAGCATATTTAGTTTTCATTGAGAAGAGCTGAAAATCGATGGAGATAGATTTTCAAGCATGCTAAATCTAATAACGTCAAAATTAGCTAGTGAAAGGTTTTTTAAGCAATTCTACACGGTTTCCAGAAATTCGCTCTCTGAAAACTCTTGCAAAGCCTTTCAGTATTTTTTAAAATCATCCTATCGGATTATCAATAACTAAAAAGTTATGAAACTTAGGTTTCAAGTTTTTCTGGCAATATTAAGTTTCATGGAAATCTTCGTTCAAAGCTTAGCGAATTAAAGCTATGAAACAGTCTTCTTCTGCTACAAAGCTCGAAACTTCATTGTAATCAACTAAGAAGCTCACGTTAAGAATTAGTCTTCCACGTTGAATACGAATTTATTTTTGCTTTAAAGAAGAGGTAGTTTGAAGGTGAAAAAAAAGTAGTGACTTACACTGTGTTTTCTTGATATGTTGAACACTGGACTTCAACTAAGTTTGAACTGCATTTCACACACACCTTGGCAAAGGCTTTATTTTGTCTTCTCCCTTTTTCTTTACAATGCTAAGCGATATTGTCTCTAGTATTTTGCTCTTCTTCACCAATAAATTTGTTATGGCTATATGCTAAGAATCATGACCACTCTCGTTAAGAAGAATCATCTTTGTCCTTCTTCGACTTGCATGGAAGATATGATCTGTCTCTATAATCTGAACGTTTCATTTCTCTTGTAGATTCAACATGTCTCTCTTTCACCGCATTACTGTGACCTACGGCACGTTTATGGCTGCTAACTACCTTTCCAACTACGTTCTCTTTCCGGATAAGAAGCTCGATTATGGATTCCTTAATAGACTGATTGGTCGCGAAGTTAATAATGAATGGTATGATTTTTAGTGTTCCCTTTCATTATATTCTGTTTTTATGTGTCCTTCACTTTTTTGGCTACTTAGCATCGCGCCTCTTGCTGCCCTAT